GGACAGCCAGGGAGAGGGGTGGATGGATGGCCAGGGAGAGGGGTGGATGGACACCCCAGCCAGGGAGAGGGGAGGATGGACGGTCAGTCACCAGTCAAAACCTCTGCTGACCCACTGGGAACCCCGCAGCTAGGAAGTCTCTTGGGCTGACTTCAGATGACTGCAAGGAGTCAGACCTTTAATTCCGCATTGACAGGCCGGCCGAGGTAGTGGAGACCAGGCTGCTCTCTTCAGCCAATAGCAGCTCTTGCAGAAGCACTGTGTTGACAGTCCTCTGTTGGCTCCTTCCAGCAGCTGTGGGGTGACTTCTGAAGGACAGGTTTTAGCCAGCCAAGCAATGTTCCATCAGGTGGGGCCATGATGAAAGGCAGTCAGGTATGCAAAGCAGATATTTCAATTTCAGTGCAAATAAAACATAAAGGAGAAAACTCTGGCTGCACGCCTTTCTTCCCAAAGCAGAAGCTAAGCACTGGGTCCGTGGGTCACTATGTCCAACCTGGGCATACAGTGTGATTTCTGACCTCCAAGGCACAGGCAGAGCCGGGACAATACAGTGTATTCGGAACCGGCATCAGCTTTATGTCCTTCGTGTCCTCTACTGGGGAGATGCCTTTCTCTCTGTGCCATTAAGAACGAGGTTGGCTGATGGACACCGTGGCCACAGGGACTAACATGGTCCTTATTTGAGACAGTGTTACAAAGTAAGAGGATGTGCCTGTTGAAAGGCCATTGGCTTTTAACATTACTTATAATTTAGAAATTATATTATATGATTTTCCTGTTGTCTAAAAAAAAGCCTTTTAAAATAATACTTATCAGGTCGCAAATACTGGAATAAACATCTTTAAAATGTCCTAATCATGTGTTTTAATTTTCAAAATACATTTACTATTTCCAGTGGCACGGTGTTGTTTTCCCTACATTTAGGAACTCGGTCTCGAGCGTCCTTTCCTGCCTATTATGTGAGTCCCAGCAGGCCCTTCATTGTGGCTGCCGTCAGTGAGCAGATGTTCAAGTGCAGTCGTGGGCCATCTAGCAGCCCCAGTCAAGGCACTCAACGAGCAAAGCCTACCGTCAACCTTCTGCAGTACGGAAGGGAAATGGAAATGGGTCTTAGATGATCTGCCTACAAAGGCAGTCTTTACTCTTAGGGCTTAGGGATATTTTGCAAGACAACAGAGTATTATCAAAACAGTGCTAGCATCTAGTCTTAGCTAACAAGTTATTAGGAGCCCATAGCCCAGAGTCACTGTGAACTGGATTGTGTCAAGTGCAATCCCACGCCCACTTCACTTCCTTTTCTGTTGCATGACCGTGGGTGAAGAAGGAAGTCGGCCATCCAGGCTTCCTCCATTTGCTTTTGCCATGAATTATAGATGGTGAGCAAACATGGACTCCTAAATGCCTGAGAAACCAGACCAGGGAAGAGATGAGAACAATGTGTGTGCTAATCTGCATCCTTTATCTCTCCAAAATCAGGTTTCTCTTCCATAAAATGAAGAAAACTAATGTATTTAAATGCTTGTAAAGTTTCAGGTAATGCCTGCAAGCATTTGAATGTCAACCAAAGACTACAATTATTTAGCATTGTCACATAATCTGTGGTCAATGTTCAAATATTTTGCTATCCTCAGGAGATCATAAACTCTCAAACAGACCACGGAAATTTCGCAGAAATGTTGGTCATGCAGCCCCCAACACCCAAGCATAGGTGTGCTAAATGTCTAACTAACCTCTGTCAAGAAAAGCATACCAACTGAGCAAAACCCTCCAACGTAAGATGGGTTCACACCTCCTTGCATCCTCTAACCCAGCCGTTCTTAATCCGTGGGTCACAGTCATCAGAAAACAGAGTATTTCCTATGCTCTTAGGAACGTGCAACAGTAAATTTATCTTTGCTTCTACTTCATAACTGAAATTTTGCTACTGAGAGGTGTCTCAGGTTCTAAGATCACCAAGAATATGTTTTCCCATGGTCTCCACCCAGCGGCTTAGAACCTCGGCATAAACACTGTGCAAATTATCTGTTTCCTGGAGCCTCTGTCCTATGTCTACGTAGGGTTGATTTCGCCCATTGCCGGTGGGAGGTGACATGGTATTTCTAGTACAACTATGAACTGGAGAAACTGACTCGGAGACTGGATCCTTCTCTTAATCCACGTACATACTACGTGGTCAGTATCACATCATCTCTGGGGACTAGCATTGATCCTAAGTTTAGGAAGGGACTCCACCGTGCTGGCTGTAGATATTTGCCATTCACATCTTCATCGGAATAAAACTTTCTGGATTATAAAAGAAGAAGAATCGAAATACTACCGTATGCAAGTGGGGAGACATAAATAATGCTAACCCTTCGATGTCAGCCTCTGAGCCTGATAGGCTATCCTAGGCAACCAGAATTGTATATTGATATATTGTCTACTGAGTGCTTTGCTTTGCCTCTTATCAAATGTGCCACTGGTGCTACTTCAAAGGCCTTTATTACGGGGCCAAGTTATAATTCATTTATCACTTTCCAGTGGTTTATATGGAAGTTGGTTATGACTTTCCCAGGAAGACAAGAATTTGGTGGCATGTCACCTTGTACACAAACACACACAAAGAAGAGAAGAATGCTGGGTTGAAGCATGTAGCCGACACAGAGCCTCGGGTCCCTGGGTCCTAGATCCAGGCACTGACACAGTGCAGGTCTGATCAAGCCCAGGTCACCCAACTTCAGAGCGTGGTTGCTCATTAGAAGAGACTTTTACTCAATGGCCGTGCCAGACCTGGCTCCAGTGCTGTCACTAGAGCTCAACCATTGACTGGCTCTGTCCCTGCTCTCCAAGGACTCGGCTACAGTCACTGTCTAACGCCACTTCTTCCTTGTTCTCCGTGGGAGTGGGACTGGTTCAGGATGGAGGAAGCCATCACATCTACACGTGAGCTGTTCCTCTGCTAGCTGTCTTTTCTCATCCTGAAAGTCTGGATCCCAAGGATGCACCCTTTGCTTTTCCGGGGGAGACTTTCAATGTTAGCACCCATCATAACGGCACTCACCCACGCAGAAGACATCATAACATTTAACATTCTTCATCGGTCATGGAGTCCTTGTGCTTCTCACCTAAGCAAATACAATTAAACCCAGTGTGCGGGAAGGGTGAGGGAGGACAACTTAAACAGCTTGGCACATTTGGTGATCTACAGAACAAGTCTGTTCTGGGAGTGGGTAAAGCAATCGAACCTGAAACGGAAACTATGTGTTCCGTAAAACAGCAGAGAGAACACATGAATAATTTGAAGCTTCCTGACCACTGACAAAGAAGTGGAAGACTTTGTCTAGATTTCCAAGTGAGTGGGTGCAGCCAATTTCAGTCAAGGAGGAAACTGAAAAATTAATATCAAACTCTCAGAAGTGATAAAATCACAGACAATGAAGAAGAACAAAGAGAACCAACGCACTAGAAGTAAAAAGCCGAACTCCCGACAAAACTTCTATGATGAGACTTTCACAGCATGGCACTGTCTCCTCTCAGAGCATGAAGTGCTGTCTACTCTCAGAGCATGGAGCACTATCTGCTCTCACAGCATGGAGCACTGTCTACTCTTACAGCATGGAGCACTGTCTGCTCTCACAGCATAGAGCACTCTCTACTCTCAGAGCATGGAGCACTGTCTGCTCTCACAGCATGGAGCACTGTCTGCTCTCACAGCATGGAGCACTCTCTACTCTCAGATTATGAAGCACTGTCTGCTCTCACAGCATGGAGCACTGTCTACTCTCACAGCATGGAGCACTGTCTGCTCTCACAGCATGGAGTACTCTCTACTCTCAGATTATGAAGCATTGTCTGCTCTCAGAACATGGAGCACTGTCTACTCTCAGATTATGAAGCACTGTCTACTCTCAGAGCATGGAGCACTGTTTACTCTCACAGCATGGAGCACTGTCTGCTCTCAAAGCATGGAGCACTGTCTGCTCTCAGAGCATGAAGCACTCTCTACTCTCAGATCATGGAGCACTGTCTTCTCTCAGAGCATGGAGCACTGTCTACACTCACAGCATGGCGTGCTGTCTCCTCTACTCTGCTTTGGGCATTTCTGGTGCATTGTATGATGGTGAAGTGAGAATGATGATTCTGAGAGGCAGATTCATAGAAATTCAGGATTGTTTAGACATATATTAGCTTTGTTGTGTTCTGATAATAGAATATCATGTCACTGCTTGGGAAACTGAGAAGAAAACTAGAGTTAAGGTCAACATGAACTGATAAAAAGGTCTCTCAGTAAGGTAAGATTCCTTGGAAACTGTAGCCCAAAACTCTGAAAAGGAAAAGGAAAGGAATTCTATTGAGCATGTACTCAAGCTACAATACCAACCCACACAATCATATTTAATCCTTACCAAACTCTGTTGGATAGGTTTTAATAGCCCAATTTTTACATTTTATAGTATGTCCATTTTATAGGTGTTTAGCCTGCACATACGACTATGTACCATTTGCATGCATTTTTCCCATTAAGGGCAGAAGAGTCCTTCAGAGACCCTAGAACTGGACCTATAGATGGTTGTAAGCTACCATGTGGGCACAAACCTAGGAATCAAACCTGAGTCCTCTGAAAGAACAGCTAGTCTTCTTTACTTCTGGGCCTTCCCTGCAGTCACATTTCAGTGTTTTGTATGGAGAAACAGATTCAGCCATGCTGGGTAAGTTTCCCTAAGTCACACCATTGATAAGTTAGATCCCTGAATGCACAGATGCAAATACTCAAGTATACCTGCCACCCAAGCAGTGCCCATCTCCCACTAGGAAGTATACCTGCCACCCGAGCAGTGCCCAGCTCCCACTAGGAAGCAGACTTCGGCATCATCTATATGAACAGTTCCAGAATTTATACAGAGATATTCTGATAATGTTCTCATCAAGCAGACTGAAGAGGCAAAGTCCTCAGAGAAAATCTGAACCTGTGAGATGTTTCTTTATACTTTGGCCTGGTGATCAGATTGGGTACCTTTCCACAATAAAAAGTTAGTACTCATGATTCTTGTGCATTTAAGGAACCTGCAGAGTGGACCTAGGAGCAATGAATATTTAAAGTAGGTATGGCAGCTGTGGCTGGAGTGTAGAAGCGCGGTTTGGGCAGTTACATGTCCAGGAAAAGTCCCGATGTAGAAACCTTATTAGGTTACTTCTGACCATAACTCTAGGTAGGAAGTAGAACGAAAGCCTTCCCACCCCCACTTCACACCGTGCACTCAAAAGTACTTTGAAAACAATCAGCAAATAATAGAAGAGTCCAGAACCATCAAACCTTGTAGTTGTG